AACTAATGAGCCACTTACGGAAGTGGACCCGGAATTTTTAGCGGCTTTGCCTCCAGATTTACGCATGGAAATAGAACAGCAAATACAACAGCAAAAGCAAGCAAATGATCCCGATCAAAGCTATCGGCCGTTGACTCCTCCATCTGTAGTAGCTGAAGAATGTATTGAAAGCAACAACGACAATAATAATAATGGTAAAAACATAAGTTCGGAAAATATTTTTATGCAACCTAAATGCTTGGAAAAGTTATTGGCTTGGTTCCAAAGCACTGACGTACCTGATAGTAGTGATATAGATATAATTTCTTCAAATGCATGTGAACTGGTCCGGGCCAAAGAGTTAGATGAACTCTATGAGGCATTATTGTACTTTGGACGTTTAATAAATCAACAAAGATCTTCAAGTGAATATTGTGCCTGGCATTTAGCGTTCAAGTCAGTCTTGAAATCAGTACAAGAGGAAATGTCCCACGTCTATGAAGGCAAGAAATTATATATGGGTGTAAAATTGAAATGTGATAAATGTAAGATATAGTATATATTTTTAGCGATATTAACAACCTGTTTATTTAATATCTTTGGGTTTGGAGCAAATGTTTTATTTTTCTGTCAGTCACTCAGTCAGTCTTGAAGTCAGTGCAAGAGGAAATATTCCACGTCTATGAAGGCATGAAATATATAGGAGTGTAAAATTGAAATGTGATAAATGTAAGATATGAATATTTTTGGCGATATTAACAACCTGTTTATTTAATATCTTGGGGTTTGGAGCAAATGTTTTGTTCTGTAAGGGACATACACACAAAAGCTTTCATTTTGCCTTGTATTTTTTTGAAACCAAGAAATATATACGGAAGAAAACGGCAGAAAAACGATAATAACATGGTAAAATTAAGAAGGTAAAGTTGAAGTTAAATTAAAGTTTAAGTAAGCATTTTCTATATTTGTATTTATTCTGATGTGTGTACATACTATGGTTGAAAATTAGAGGTAGATGCATCAACGCTTGGAAACATTGATACGTCGAAATGTTTAAAATGGTTTTTCCAAAATAAGTAGATTTTCATATGTTTTCTTATACGACGCCAATCGGAGATCGTTAAGATATGCATTTTTCAACAATTTTAACGAGTTTGAATAGTTTTTCATTTATTTATACCCTAAGCCTTATGACACCAGAAGGTATATATAAATTGATTCGCCCAAAATGCGTCCCGTAAAAATAATTATCATTTAAGTTGATCTAATAATGTACTCCATCCATCTTTCTGTGTGATATGCATAACTCTTAAAGAGAGTATCTGATTTAGTCGAAACTACACATCCAGCCATTTATACCAAAATTACATCTTGTTTACCACCAAGGCAGAAATCCGTTCTTCCTGAGACATGGGGTCCTGAAAATTCATCGTCATCGGACCCTTCGGATTCTCCTTCCTTCTTTTTGTCAACGCAGAGGAAAAAAATGTCAGGGACCGAAGAGCGACGGCCTAAACAATTATATTAACGAAGGCCTGCTACTTAAAAGGAGTATAAAATATTAGAAAACAATAACACATATTGTATGCAATGATTGAAATATATAGGTGCACTGCCTCCAAATAAATGCTAATATTTGCAACAGTACTCGGTTTGATAATTATATCTCTTATAAAGTGTGAAATAGGAGCGCCAGCCCCATTAGGAGCACATCCCAGTACGTATGCATGGACAAAATCTGATGGGAATAAGGGATAGAACATGTGTGTTAATTAATAAGATGCTTCGTTTGGAAACGTTTACAATGTCTGAAGATGAAAAGCGATCTTCACACAGAAATTTCTTTCTAAAAATTGTAAAGGCACACCCTTGGGTTTTGTGATCTTCTTCGTATTTGGAAAAAAGTATCCACTGAGCCAGTGTCACTTTTCTTGCAAAGACTTTACCTTCTTAATTCTACCATGAAAGAGATCATTGATCTGAAATTTGGATCATATTCTTCAAATATATTCTTTTCAATTTATTTTTTGTTAATTTGAGAATTTATTGGGCTGCCACCATGGTAGAATAATTCAGGTAATAGCAAGAATTGTTGTGCAACAAACGGAACAACAACCTCATACAACTTTGTTTTTGTACGTAGTACAAGTGTCAGAGATATATTTAAAAAAAAAAAACAAAAATATTTTCAATAAATTATTTAAAAAAAAATCATTTTTTGAGTTTGGCATGGTAGAACTCAGAAGGTAAAGTCATGTAATCATAAGTTTTATGTACCTCGTCAAATTTCACTGAATAAAGAACAGATTCCCAATTCTGATTTCTGTGTATACAATGGATTTATAAATATAAATTTAGACAATGAGATGTTGTCAAGAGAATAATTTTGAAAAAATTGCAAAATATGATTGCATCACTGTACCTTCTTGATTCTACCATGGTTTTGTTCATAGTAATATATATGTGAGACCATAAATATGACTTATAAAAGTAATGTTAGTGGTTTTAAAATAATTCGTGTTTATTTATCAGATATGATTTTCCAGGTGACGTTTGTATTACTTTCTACTAGCAAATATTTATGTGCTCCTAGCTTCGGTTTGTTGAACAACAACACAGAAGAAGCTTAGGTATTCCCTACCTTACCCCTGGTAAACATTACCATGTTACTCCACTAATAAACAAAACGTTTTTATAAGAACAACAATAATGGGATTGAGCATAACTATTTTGCAACATCAAAATACTACGGTATCCCTAACAAGCATGCCAACACGGTTCTGTTTTTGAATAAAGCTAAAATTTTGTTTCGTATATTGAATATTTATATTTTTAATGATATAAATACCGATTACCCTTGTTTGTTTCACTCATCTCTAGCTGTCAGCAGAATTCATAGCATTCAGCATCTGCTTGTGTACGGTTTCACGAAAGTTGACAGAAGAAACGAAGTTTACACGTCACAACACTCATTCTCAGTCGGTTAACATTGTAGAAAAGTGAAACGTTGTATTGGAAAGCCGCCGTCGTGTTGTACACAAGACTGTTTTAAATTAGGAAATTATTAAATAAAATTAAAATGTAAGTAGTCAGTAGTTAAACAAATATAATAGTAAATAAGAAAATAAAACAAATAACATGAATATAAGAGAAATAAAAAATTTCTTCACAATATTCGTTGACAAAATACTGGTGGGGTGAAAACTCTCCACGTCAACAAGTTTTTTGTTTTCTTTCGTAATTTTGAGTGGTAAACATTTAAATAAATTTTATACGAATTTGCCTTTACAGCATGTTCAAAGCTTTGTTCATTTCCTTTGCCTTGTTGGCTGTGGCTAGCGTAAGTTTGGCCGGTGACGAAGAAACTTCTGCCCGCTTGTTGGTCTCCAAACAGATCTTGAACAAATACTTGGTGGAGAAGAGTGATTTGTTGGTACGTTACACTATCTACAACGTTGGAAATGGTGCCGCTACCAATATCAAATTGGTTGATAATGGTTTCCATCCTGAAGCCTTCGAAATTGTTGGTGGCAAACCCACTGCCAGCGTTGAACGTCTTGCCCCACAAGCTAACTATACACATGTCGTTGTTGTAAGACCCAAATCCCATGGTTACTTCAACTTCACCGCTGCTGAGGTTTCCTACAAACCCGTTGAAGAAGCCGAAAAGGTAATGACAAACAACAATAATATTTCGAATAAATATTGATTACCTATTTCCATTTAGATCCAATTGGCCGTCAGCTCCGAACCTGGTGAGGGTGGTATCGTCAACTTGGGTGAATTCAACAAACGTTTCTCTTCTCACTTCTTCGATTGGGTTGCTTTTGCCATCATGACTTTGCCCTCTTTGGCCATTCCCTTGGCTTTGTGGCACTCATCCAAGAGCAAATACGAACGTCACGGCAAGAACAAGAAACATTAAACAGTGATCTTGTAGAAATACTTTTTTAAATTAGGAAACTATTTTCTTATCCATCTGTAACAAAACAAATGATTTTAAAATTTAAATTCCGCCCTTAAAGGTTGCAATAATTGAGATAAAACTTTTTCCCATCTTTGAAAGCAAAAGTGCGAGCATTGATTCCTTTGGTTAAAGCAAAGAAATCAATAGTTTTTTTTAGTTATAGCCTCAAGAAATCGTTTTAGATTTATTGAAAAATGTTGTCACACAGTTATGTTTTTTACGAAGATCATATTTGTTACTATTGATTGATTGTGCGAGCTCATTTAAACCAAAACTCTTCATCTAAAAGAACGCACTTTTAGATAATGATCACACATTTTTTTATTTATAGCGTGCGTACATTTCGATTTTGTCATACAACAACAATGTGAGATTTTTCTAATAAAAAAATAAAAACCTAACAAAACGGAGTCTTAAGTGTTTGTGGGGAAAGTGTAGAATAAACTGAACAAACGGTATTGCAGTACAAAACCTATATAAAATGTGCATATACATATATATTCTACGGGAGACCAGAATATATATCAATCACTCACTCGATATCGAAAAAAAATTATCGATCGAAATAAACAATATGCCATTTTAGCTTTAATTTGAATACCTGTTGTTTCTACAAATTTATTTTTTTTTCCATCTAAAATTATCATGCAGGCCTTTAATTTATCGTCTATATATTCCATACGTGTAGAAAGTCTTCAATCTTTGAAATACCTATAGAAGTTCCTTAATTTATGAAATATCTATCGAAGGTCGCATTAAACTGTTTTTTTTTTTTTTTTTTTTTCGTAAAACATAGGCCAAAGACTCAAGGAATATCCTATATTTATCTACCAAAAGAAAGCCTATATATAGGATTCTTCATCTTAAAAACATCTATAGAATTTCTACTTTTAAAGATCATATATCTATTAACTAACAATAAGAAGTCTTCTGACTGAAAAAGTCCCACAGAAGGACATATATATATATGGAAGACATATCTCTATACGACCTATAGAAGGTATTCTATCAATGAAAAGCCTAGAGAATGTAAATAATTAAAACCAAATAAATGTACATATGTGCAAATAAATTCCTTTTTATTATTGAAAAGAATTAATTACGGTAAATAGTTGTAAAACAAACAAAAAAACTTCTTAAAATTAATATTATATAAATATCTATTTTGTTTATTGTTAAAAACATATTCTTATATTTGTTTATCACATAAAATACTATTTTGTAAATGTATGCAGCTATGGGCGATGGTAGTAAAGCAATACGTGAAAAAGGTCTCATACTGATGTGATTACAATCAAAAACATAATGAACAATTATTTTCTAATTATTAAACTTTGCAAAATACCACATGGAAAATAACACAAATAGATGTTTTGAATGTCTTACAAAACGTAATTGCTGATTACAAATGTTCTCTAATGGAATGAAATGATTTGGAGAATACAATTTTATTTTCTATAATACTACTTTTGTAAATAAATGCATTATACCAGTTTGGGGGCTTAGTGAATAGATAGTTTTTTTGTTTGTGTATAGCAATAAGTACCCTTAGTTTCCATTAAATTTGGCCACGTCTTATATATTATTGGCTTATTATTTTACGATGAAAATGAAAACGAATGAAAAAAATAATTTACGGGTCATTAAAGAGTATTGGAGAAGATATGATACCATAAAATCTTGGTAATAAAATCATAGAGAGCACGGTAAGTTAGAGATCCTGAAAGTTGTTTGGAGTTTAATCAACAAAGGCAAGGCGATTTGAAAGAGATCAATCAAGTCACCTCTGTAAAGAGGAAAAAATAAAGTGAATAGATTCGTATAATTGCTTTAGGATGGACAACTGATATTATTCAATTCGTTGTTCATAGACCATTGGATGCATTTTATGTAGAGGTAACACCTTTACGTGCCACCAGCATATTTAAGACAGGATGTTTGCGTATGTAACTAACGGCTTTCTTGTGAGTGACCATGGTAAAATCATAGCCATTGCATTGTAATATTTTATCGTGAATACGTAGCCCAGCCCTAGCTGCAGGACTGCCATCATGGACCTCAGTAACATAAATACCCTAAAGAAACAAATAGAACAATATACACACATAAAATTGAATTGGGTATATGAATAAATTATTTGCCACATACATAATCCGTATAGCCCTGTGGACTTTTCTTGTAATCCTGATCTATACCTCCACCAATTTTAAAGCCACATTTCAAAATTTCTCTTCCCTCTTGGTCATAATCTTTCTCCTTGTGCAACGTAATGGGAATCTGAAAAAAGAAACGTCATTACAGGCCAAGACTAAAATTGGATTCTAACCCAATAAAAACATATTTGTTTTCTTGGAAAACCCGTTGAACTTACACTTAAACACTCCATGGCCGTACCGGCCTGGTGCTGAAATGCCATTTTAGCCATTTTTGTTGAGTTTTTATTAATTTATTACAACGAAAAAATAAAAAGACCTATCGACGCACCGCAAGTTCACAGAGTATAGGAAAAAAGAGAAGAAAGAAACAAAGTGGAAATGTGTGATTAAAATAAAAATCAAAGCAAAAATAAAAAGGGTTCTAAAATTCGCAGTTGTAGGCTCTAGAAGATCGAAACATTTCAGTATAATCGTTATGATATGATAACAACATTTTAGCCAATGTTAAGTGATTTTAATTCAATTAATTAAAATTTTATTCAGTTTAATTAATATTCAACTAAATCGTAATCTTATTACTTAGACAGACGGCAGCCTTAATTTACAGTCACTTAATGCAAATTAATTCGCGCATTATCCACGTTGTTAATGCACCAAATGATTTAAACTGCATTAAAAAATTGCATATGGCAACGCTGTGGAAAATCAATGTAAGAATTTTAATTGTTTTTACCATGGTACGGTAAGAAGGTAAAGTCATGTAATCAAAAGGTAAGTTGCCGAAAATGGGAAAGTTTGTTTGAAACGACACTACCTTCTTAATTTTACCATGGTTTTTATCTAAAAATTAATATAATGTCCGGTGCCAGAGAGACACCGACATTTTATTGGATATGTGGACGTAACAAAACGTAAAATTTCTTCTTCATCTAGGCAAATTCTGCAGTAATCGTTATCGTCGCTATGACGTTCCATTCATTCAAGTCCTTGCTCTCACACTGCAGTGACCTGTCTTGATATTAACCAAAATTTTAAGTTCAGGTTTCGACAAGGACATTAGCGATTTTGTTCTTTTCTTAGGGAGTATAGACCACATTTTCTTAGAGACATACAACCTTTTCATCGAGCCATAATTGTTGAAAACAGTGCCTTAATACGTGTTCTCTAAATTAACAAACTCACACACAGGTGACTGGAACACGGTTGAAATGTGCTGGCAGTCTCAACAATATTTTGTTATGATTTCAGCAAAGTGATCATATCAAAAAGCTGAAGAAGCCAAGTGACCATTTCCTTCGAGCAACAAATATGGCAATGCTGTCAGTTGCGTTTTGAAAAACGTTGCTCCCATTAATAGGGAGTAAAATGAAATTAAGCTCCGCTACCTGTTCTGCAGAATTCGGGCACACTTCGAAAAAATTATAATCAGCTGGCAGCTCTACTTTACCTTTTCATTGTACAATGGTTCTTTAAGGTGCGCTGATTTCCGAACTACAGTTCCCTTGTACATAATAATTAAATTGCATTCGTCTTGCATTTCTCGTTTATTCATCGCATTATTCATTTTGTAGTTACTTCAACTGTTAATACTATTTGATATAAAAAAGGCAAATAAGATAATGTCTCAACCGTCGAAAAATCCCCCATCGTACGAGGAGGTAATGAAAACCTCTACAGACACTCCTCCGCAGGGATCCCAAGGTAAACAAACTTAAATCAATGAGCTTTTGGTTTTGTTGAATTCATTGTTATCTTTTGTTTTTGTAATTACTTTCTTTTGAAGGTAAATATCCCAATCCAAATGTTGGAATTACTGAAAGCGTAAATCCACAACAGCAATATTATATGCCACAAGCTCCTCCGCCGCCCTCGGCGCCGGGATATCAAGTGCCAATGTATGGAGCATTCGAAACTACTCCAGTAAGTGTGGTCATACAACCGCCTCCTATTACACAAACGCCCAACATTATTGTCGTTGGTGGCTGTCCAGCTTGTCGCATTGGGATTTTGGAGGATTCATATCCATGTTTGGGTCTTCTATGTGCCCTTGTCTTCTTTCCAGTTGGCATTCTATGCTGTTTGGCCATGAAGAACAAGCGCTGTTCGAATTGTGGAACGGAATTCTAAAAGATATAACTTGCATAGACTTTACATTATCCATAGCAGGGATATATTACAACGTCCATGCATTTTTATTAAATAATATATACTGTAACTCCCTTTTTACACCAAGCTTTAAATGTTTTACAATTATGAAGAAAAATAATTTATCGAATACAATCGAAAAAGACATACAAAGGCTTTTTAAAAGCCTCTAAATATCCTAACATGTTTATGTTTTAATTACATATTAAAGTCGGTTGCAATCCTTATCAAACATTTTTATGTGCATAAAAATATCGATGGTAACACCAAATATTATCAGCAAATACTTATGTTATAACAATATCTATTATATACATATAAATATTTTTTTGGGGTGCAGTCGAATGAAAAATTATAAATTTTTGGTCGATTATTTTTTTGTTTGCATTATAAATGTCTGCTGACCAAAGACGTCTGAATCATTTAATAATGTTTTTTTAGCCTTTTAAGCATTTAGTATTAATGAATGTTGATAAATGAATTACAATAAATATGAAGCCCAAATACATTGTCTTTCAATCAGAAGTGATTGTCTATTCAATCAGAAGTGATTGTCTATTTTAAGGAAAGCATTTGTACACTACCATTGAAAAGCAGAAGATGCTTAATTATTGGACCTTAAAATAAGAACAATACGAAACTCCGCTAAAATGATAAATATACCTTTACTTTTTAATAAGAAGTCCTGGAAATTAGCAGTTTAAGATTAGCTTACCCTCTCTCCTGTAAAGTTCAGAGTAACTTTAGCGTTTCTATAGCGATAACGATTTATAGCTTTTATTATAATAAACTGAGCTTTCGACAATGTTAGAATTTGAATTGTATTTGGAAGTAAAGTAATTGATTATAAAACTGGTCACCCTAAAACTATAAAAGGTACAATATAAATTATATGTTAGCCCAGGAAGAGATTAATACTGGGTCCAAATTTTAACCCAGTCTATGGAGGAGAAACAAAACGCTTTTTTTCTATGAAGAGAAATGTGTTAACTGAATACTCTGCAATTTGGTATTTTGTATTGATAGAGGATAACATCGGTTAAAGCGTAGCCTAAGGTATGAGCATTTCGGACTATCTTGAAACCATTCTTATTTGTTTATATGAATTTGTGAAACTAGAGAAATATATGTGTTAATGGACTCACTAATAAAGACCTAATTTCCTTGAAAATAAAACCATTTGGCTTTGGGAATTATTTTGCAACTACCAGTTAACCACACATTGTGATATCATAATGTGTGACGAGTATATCATTGTTTACATATACATCAATAAGTAAAACACCATTTTATTATTAACACATAAATATTTTCAACGTTTATTTCGAAAAACTTTCTCTTTTTACTACAAGTAGAACTTGCAATGAGAATTGCTTTCTTATTATTATACATAGGTATATATAATTATATGTTTACATGTATGTATTTTGTTTCAGAGAATATATAATAAATTATTATAAGTGTGTATATGTATGCATATGGATAAATTAGTTTTTTGTTTTAATATACTCATATACATACCTAAGAAGAAATTATTGAAATATTAATTTCATGATTTATTTGCGTAATATTATTCATTTAAAAACTGCTATAAATACATATGAATATATGATAGTTTTATACAACTATCTTAAAATATTTAATAAACATATGTATTAGTATAATAGTATGTGTATATATGTACTAATTAAAACTTTTTTTTGTTCAGAATGTAATTTTCTTAGTTGCTGTAATGAAATTAAATATTTGAAAGGATAAAAAAGTTATTTATGACACGGTGACATAAAATTTTCATGGGCGGCTTTTTATATGAAAATATATTTGATTTTGGATATGATTTCCAAAAAGATATTTTTTGGCATACAATAGGAAACCAGATTAGTAGATTAGAGGTTTTGTTCAGTTGTGCATGAGTACAAGATTTGAATTTTCATTTAGTTGTCGAATAACAAACTGTCCAATTTGCCCAATTTTAAGTTACAATCTAAAGTGCAGTCGTGTTCACATAATTGGAAACAAAAGGTTTTGTCAACTTATAGAACATTACTTTTGGTTTAAATGGAATTAATGAGAAATTGCTTTTACTTTGCATTACTAAATTCACGGCGAACTTGAGCATTGTATAATAGTTTTTATACAAAGAAACTTTTTTTGTATTCTTTTTTTGGAATGTTTTCAAAGAAAACTTTCTTCGGATTTCGAAAAGTTAATCTGTTGGAAGACTCTAGTATTGAGGACAAGACCTTCATCTATACCTTTTATTTTCTATGTAAAATCAACAAACATTCCAATTATATGAGCTCCACTGTTTTAAAATATTTTTGTGTGAATTTTGTATTTTTCACCAATCTTAAGATTTTATAGTTTTATTTTAATATATGTAAATGAAATCAGCACACCAAATAACAGTTTTCAGTTTATTTTAATTTTTGTCTTGGTTTGTTAAATATAATAAATAATTTTTTGTTTGTATAAATAATAGTCATTTAATAGGTATAGATTTTTGTTTGTTTAAATTTCTAGTTATTGTCTTATGAGGTTTTAGACTGCCTCATCAATTTTTTTTTTTCATTCTTTTGATGCAAAACTTCATGTTCATACCGAAAATGTTTTTCGTAGATTAGGATGATTTTTTGAGATCCTGTAGTGACGGTTTTTTTTTCAATATATTGTTTACAACTATTTTTTTCTATGTAAATATTTCAAAAACGTGCAGCTAATTGACCATAAACTGTGTAAGTGTTTTGAATTTTTTGGTATTTAAACGCATTTTTAACAATTTAAAGCAGTTTTCTAACAAATATTAGTTAGTTAATTAGTTAATTTATTTTTTCAATCAATTGCAACAGTTGTGGTTTTGATTATGACCCAATTTGTAATTAACAAACCCTTGTAACCAAATCATTAAATTGAGGAAAAATGGAAACAAAATAATATTTCTATTTAGCGAGACTCGAATTCTTATTTCTGTAAAAAAGCTTAAAATATAAAATATTTAAATGTAACAGTTAAAGAAAATATGTGAAAACATTGGTATTGGGCGTGTGTGAGAGACTTAACAAAAACAAATGTGAGAAAAAAAAAACAAAGTACAAAGACAGGTGTTATAAAATAATTATTAATAATTATAAAAACTAAATTAATATCATCAATTTATATGTGTATATATTTAAGCTTTTTTAGTAGGATCCACAACACCACCAGGACCCGGAAGACCACTAGGACGGCCTGTTAGATAGCTATCGATCTGGCGAGCAGCTTGACGACCTTCAGTAATTGCCCATACCACCAAGGATTGGCCACGGCGACAATCTGGAAATAGAAAAATGAAAACAATGCAATTTTAATAAGAAGAATTTGATGTTAATCAGATTGAAGCTGCCGTAATAATAATTTTGGCCTTTATTTATAACCTAATAATAAAGATCCAAAATTGCAAAAGGTGGAATCAAAATGAAAAACTAAAGAGAACACAAATAACCCTAACATCTGTTAACATTTTCGAAGACCCAGACTACGTTCCACAACAACTCGAACATTACTTGGCCAGGCATGTTCACATCTACCCATACTTTAATATCACAAGAACCACATGTATTGAGAAATGTGGTCAAATTTAAGTGATCTCTCCATTAAAGTACTCAATTAAGTCCCCGCTACTATATTTGGTTAGGTCCTACACATTTTCTGCTGATAAAGAAAATTTCTCAAAAGTCACCTGCTATTATACAGAATATTTCAGAGAATTTCTTTTGGAATACAAATGACCTCAGAGGCCTTTTGGCTCTGTATAAATCAACTTAACTAAGTAGCATTTCTACTATATTTCTTGATAAAACTTACCTCCTGCTGCAAATACTTTCGAATTCGAGGTACCATATGGACCATTGCATGCCTTGACATTACCACGATTATCCAATTCCAAACCAAGTTCATTGGGTACAGTTTTCTCGGGACCCAAAAAGCCCATGGCCAATAAAATTAAATCAGCATTAAAGTGTTTCTCAGTACCAGCCACCTCTTTCATGCTCCAGGCACCGGTGGGTGTCTTAGTCCATTCAACCTCAACGGTTTTGACAGCTTTAATATGGCCATTTTCACCAATGAACTCTTTGGTTGTCGTGCAATACTGGCGGGGATCTTTGCCCCATTTTAGGCGGACCTCTTCATGGCCATAATCGACACTGTGGGAAAGAAAAATAAAGTATTATATGCGATTTTTGAACTGTTTTCAATTGTACTCACCGGAATACCTTGGGCCACTGAGGCCATGGGTTATCGGCAGCTCTGCCTTTTGGTGGTTCGGGCAAAATCTCAAATGTTGTAATACTCTTGGCTCCCTGACGCAGTGAGGTGGCAATACAATCACAGCCAGTATCACCACCACCAATAATAATAACATCTTTGCCTTCGGCGGAAATAATTTCATTCTTACCACCCAATTGTTTCTTTTGTTGGGCCTCCAAGAATTCCATGGCAAAGTGTATACCCTTAAGATCACGATTGGCCAAGGGTAAATCACGGGGCCATGTGGAACCAGTTGTCAAGAGCACGGCGTCATATCTATGCAAAGAACATTGTTTTTTTTAACGTTAAAAATTTAAACCTATTACCATAACTTACTCTTTCATTAAAACTTCAGCCTTAATGTCCTTGCCAACATGAACATTGGTGCGGAATTCAATGCCTTCATCGGCCATTAAATCAACACGGCGTTTAACAACATTCTTGGATAGCTTCATGGTTGGTATACCGTATTGCAGTAAACCACCTACACGATCATTACGCTCAAAGACTGTAACAAAGTGACCGGCACGATTGAGTTGCTGGGCTGCAGCCAAACCAGATGGACCCGAACCCACAATTGCAACACGTTTGCCTGTTCTGGTTTCAGGGATTTCTGGTTTAATCCAACCTTGTTCGAAGGCATGATCAATGATTGCACATTCAATATTTTTAATGGTCACCGCCGGTTCGGAAATTCCCAGAACACAGGAACCTTCACAGGGTGCAGGACAGACACGACCAGTGAACTCGGGGAAGTTGTTGGTCTGCAACAATTGGCGCAGAGCCTCCTTCCAATCACCATGGAATACCAAGTCATTCCATTTGGGTATGATGTTACCCAAAGGACAACCATGTGCATTCGATTGACAGAATGGGACACCGCATTCCATGCAACGGGCTGCTTGCATCTTCAAATTCTTGCGAACGTGAGGGAAATTGTAGACCTCCTCCCAGTCCTTTTGGCGTTCACCAGCATCACGATATGGAGCAGATTCACGCTTGTACTTAACAAAACCTCTGGTCTTGTCCAAGACACGATCAGCTCTCTTCTGTTCCATGGCAACATCTTGTATAGTCTCCTCAATATCCTTGACACTGGGTTCATGGCTGGCTTTGCCATTCTCAATGGCCTTAACATCATCGGTCTTATTTTGCTGCTCTTCCTTTTCAGCTTCCAGTTCCTTGAGAGCTCTCTGATAGTCCAAGGGAAATACTTTAACAAATTTAGCCTGTTCCTGATCCCAGTTATCCAAAATATCCTTGGCAATTTTGGAACCAGTTTTCTCAATGAAATCTTCCAGGAGTTCCTTGACTTGAGCAACATCGCCAGCCAGCTCCAAAGGTAATAGTTCTACTAGTTCAGGATTTACTTTGGGTTTGAATGAACCATCAATGTCATAAACGTAGGCAATGCCACCGGACATACCAGCAGCAAAATTGCGGCCAGTCAAACCTAAAATAACAACCAAACCACCCGTCATATATTCGCAGCCATGATCGCCAACGCCCTCAACAACAGCGGTTACTCCGGAATTACGTACACAGAAACGCTCAGCAGCAATGCCACGGAAATAGGCACGACCCTCAGTGGCACCATACAAACATACATTGCCAACAATTACATTCAAATGAGATTCAAAGGGTACCGTATCGGGTGGTGTGATAACAATGTTGCCGCCACACAAACCCTTGCCGACATAGTCATTAGCATCACCCTTCAAGGTGACATTAACGCCATGTGGCAAGAAGGCACAGAAACTCTGGCCAGCAGAACCTTCTAGGAAAATATCCATAGTTTTACCCACGGGAAGACCAGCTTCGCCATATTTGCTACAGTTAAAAAATAAATCGTTATAAATATGTTTATATACATTCTACTTTTTTCTAACATACCAAGCAATATGGTAACTGAGAGTCGAGGCAAATGCCCGCTCCTCATTGTGAATGCGCATCTTGACGGTGACATTATCTTCCGTGCCATTGAATATGGGTTGTATTTTTGCAATCAATTCATTGTCCAAACGTTTTTCCAATTGGAAATCTTGTTTCACAGAACCACCGACAATATTTGTGCCGGGACGTAGAGTCAAAGCATCAGTCAAAAGCATATTCAGATTTAGAGTATTGGCCTTGGTGGACAGCTTATCTGCCACACGCAGTAGATCGGTACGACCAATTAGGTCTTGGAATTTGCGTATACCCAAATTGGCCATGATTTTACGGATCTAAAAGGATGTGAGTTGTGTCATAAAATGAAAAAATAAAATAGTCGTGTAAAATGGTAGAACTTACATCTTCAGCCAACATAAAGAAGAAATTGATAACATGCTCTGGTTTACCGGTGAATTTTTTACGCAGAACCGGATCCTGGGTGGCAATACCCACTGGACATGTATTCAAGTGACATTTACGCATCATGGTACAACCTGAAAAAGAATGAAATGTCAAGAGATATCAGAAATTGAAAAAAAGAAAATAAAACAAATTGGATTTTTCTGGTCTTAACACCTCTTTATGTTGAGAGATTTTGAGAAGATACTCCTTCCCTACACTTAAGTCCCTTAAATTAATTTTTTCAATCGTCATAGAATAGGAGGTCGCCCAATGTTTTTCTATAGACTATAAAAATTTCTTAATGTTTTGTACTGAATAGAAGCTAAAGGTCTTCTATAGAATATCAAAACTAAGTACTTTTAAAAACCTTCTATAGTATGGAAGACCTTGTGCTTACTTGAATAGAATAGTATTAATTTGAAGGAGCTTCTACTGAATAGAATAGCAGGTCATGTAAAGGTATTCCATAAAGTATGATCTAAAGATCTTCCCCATAATATAGCAGGGCTTCTAAGGGTATTATTTCTAAAATTCTTCTTTTAAGGAGAATACTCTTTGAAAGTTTTCTATGGAGGAGGAAAGAAGATTATGGAGGAGGAAAGAAAACTTCCTAACAGTCTTCCACTAGTTTTATAAAGAGCAGAATTGAATAGAATATAATAGAATAGAAGAACTTCAGAAGGACTTTTAACTTTCTAAACCCTTCCAAAGGTTAGAATAAAGAAAGGTAGAATAATAGGTAGAATAAAATATCTTCTTCTTTTGAGTACAAAAGAACATTTTCTAAAAGTTGAGTAGAATATAAGTTATTCAATAGTATTTTATAGTAGAATATATTCAAATAGTGTCCTATATAATATATAATATAATAGAAGACCTTGCATGATACATACTCTATAATAGATAAATTTTGTAAGTTTATTTTTTTTAGACAAAATTACACTTTCTGGGGGATTCGACAACTTACCCATAACAATCAGGGGGGCTGTACTGAAACCAAACTCATCGGCACCCAAACAGGCAGCAACAACAACATCAAAACCGGTACGCAATTGACCATCAGCCTGGACAACAACTCTGTTGCCATGGAGGGAAGCAACACACACGCGATGATTGGTCAGCAACATTTTGGGATAGCAACACAAAGACATAGAAATTTGAAAAAGAAAAACCAAACATTAGAAGAATTTCTAAACATTGTCAAATAATATTAAAAATAGAATTACTAATGGAGCCGCCGCTGCAGCAGCTTGATGAAGAACGATCGAGCGAACGAACGATACGACGGGGACGGACGATTTTAGAGGAGAAGATGTTGTGTCTGAGCAACATAGCGAACAACATACATTGGTTTTCTAAAGGATCAACGACTATAGTGACATGATGATTGATTTGAATATGTGTGTGTGCGTGTTTTCGTTTTGAAATCATATGATTAGATTGAGAGACGGAATTGTATTAAGAACAGATCATAATGAGGAGTTTCATTTCAATTTTCGATTGGTAGTTACGCCAACGTTTCGTTAATAAACTATAACGCTCACATCCATTGACACACACAACAAAATCATCCTTCAAGATTGTGGAGGGGGGGTTGTGCCAAACGTTCCTTTGATTTCCTCGGGGATTTCATCTTCATTTTGGGGAGGTTCTTGCTCGTTAAGAACTATTTCCATTCAACGATTCTCCATTCCATGTATATGTGTGTGTTCATTTTGCAAGCGTTTATGTTTTTATCGAAAATGTGGAATTTGTTATTCCCTTTAATTTATTTCTCGTTGGAAAATGACATCAAGATCCTAAATTCAAGCTCTTTCTATTTCTCGCTCTCTCTCTCTCTTTCTCGGTTTCTTTTTCTCGAAAACACTGTATGTACGCAACGCGACGCGCATTTTGAGTCTAAGCCTCACTTCGTTAGAATCCTCGGCTCCGACGACAAGGCCATTGAAGAAACTCGTCATCTGGATAACCAGGTGGATTTAAGTTAGGTATATTTTTATATATATTATACTGTCAATATACATGTGTTTTGTTTTTTTATATTTTCTAAATGGTTAGTGTTGAATCAGAATAACCTATTTAAAGGAACATGGGCCAACTCACCTTGAACGTAGATTATTTAAAACCAAAACTTGGTGAGTCTCTGCAATACCCAATTCCCAGGGTAAGCCGGCATTTTTAATTCCAGTCCAGGAACTGGCGCCAGTACCGCCATCATGGCCCGAAATAACAATGTGCTCAGCTTTGCCCTGGATTAAAGTATAATAAACAAAATAACCAGTTAAGTAATTCGATGTGGTAATGAATATGTATATGTATATTTACCTTTGCCACACCGGATGCCACCACACCAACACCCACTTCGGATACAAGTTTAACCGATATACGAGCATTGGGATTGGAACATTTCAAATCGTAGATAAGTTCAGCCAAATCTTCAATGGAATAAATATCGTGATGTGGTGGTGGTGAGATAAGACCAACACCGGGTACAGAGTGTCGAGTTTTAGCAATGTCTTTGGTAACCTTATAGCCTGGCAATTCACCACCCTCGCCAGGCTTAGCGCCCTGGGCCATTTTAATTTGCAAGTCATCAGCATTGGCCAAATACGAGGCGGTAACACCAAAACGACCCGATGCCACTTGTTTGATGGCGGATCGACGGCTATTTTGAGGATCTTGATCTGTTAATTGAGAGGTGGAAATGGTGTTAGGTTTTGTAAAGAAAAGTGAAAATTCTATAAAAAAAGATGTTTGAAAAAAAAAAAGAATTGCCAATTTTCTTTGCAAAGATATTTGGATTTTCTTGTTTCAATATTTTGTTTTCTCGAAGAACCTTCAACGCTATATTTTGAATGTCTTTCGTGAATGAAAAATGTATGGTCCTATTAGGGCACAATAGTGCATAAAAAGCCTTCTTAAAACAAATTTTAGACCCAAAAAATGTGGAATCAAAAAAACTTTCCGAAGACCTTTCTGTGTCAAACTTTTCAGAAAACATTTTTAAGGCCTTGAACAAAAAAACACAATTTAAGAAAAAATCTTTTTGGAGATGTATTTTCTTAATAAGGCAAACCTTTGACCTTTTTTAAAAACTTTTCTCTTGACATTTTTTTTTTTGAAGGTTCAAAAAGTTAATTTGAATCCAAAATTTAGAATTTAAAAAATCTATTTTGAAAACCTTTCAGGGCCGTTGATAGAACACAAATCTTCTTTATTGCTTTCCAGAGTCAAAATAATGAATTTAGAAGTTTTTTGGGCCAAAACCATTAAAATCTTTCAAAGCCGAAGTTTTTTTCTTAACAAATGATTATTAAGCTTTCCTAAACTGTTTCTTATTCAGCATATATAAATCACGTTTTTTGGAAAAATCTTTATTCATCAAAGTTGAATTGTTATTCTTCTCCATACTTACTCAAATAACGATCGGCGTCTTCACCACCTTCACCAGTATTACTCTTGCCACCAATACGATTCATGGTAATGGCCAAGGTTTGATGGGCCTCCAGCGAAATACTACCAAAACTCATGGCGCCAGTTGCAAATCTAGCAAAAAGAAAAGAAATACCAAAATTCACAATCGTCTCCTTAAGATATTTAATTTCATTCTTCCATACCTCTTGACAATTTCACTGGCCGGCTCTACCTCGGAAATGTCAATCTTTTGACGATCATTAGCAAACTCCAACTGTCCTCGCAATGTACAACGTCTCACACTCTCCATGGTGGTGGCCTTAAAAGCTTCAAATGCGTTGGTATTCTTCGAAATGGCCGCCTCTTGGAGGCTAGCGATCGATGCCGGTTCATTAATGTGAGCCTCACCGCCATGGCGCCAATGGTATTGACCAGGATTACGTAGAATTCGCGTATCCATTGACACCTTACAATAGGTCATTTGGAAACGTTCCAAACCTTCACGGGCCAACATTTCCAGAGAGACACCACCAATACGCGAGGGAGTACCACGGAAACATTTATTGATGAGATCAGGGCCCATGCCCACGGCTTCGAATATCTGGGCACTCTTGTACGATTGCAGAGTACTGATGCCCATTTTGGCCATAACCTTGGCAATGCCGGTATCTATGGCCTGGGCATAGGCTGAGTAGATTTGCTTGTCACTAACATCGGGACTAATCACACCATCATCGCGTAAAGCTTGAGCCAATTCGAAGGCTAAATAGGGGCAAATGGCATCAGCACCATAACCCAAAAGTACACAAATGTGATGGACTTCACGAGCTTCAGCGGTTTCAACAATAATACCCACCTTCATGCGCAGGTAAGTTTCGATCAAGTGATGATGAAGGGCACCCAAGGCCAATAGAGCGGAGATGGGAGCTTTTCCCTCTTGGCCAGCATTACGATCGGATAACAACAACAATTGATAGCCGGACGAGGCGGCATTAGCACCTTCACGACAAATGCGATCGATGCAATCAATGTAGCCCTGGACACCATCTTGATAGGGGAATGTCATGTCCAAAACTTTGGTCTTCCAGCCGCGATGAGTGTTGCGCTTCAAGAGATTGGTGTCTGGAATGCTTAGTATGGGGTTATTCAACCAAATGCGATGGACTTGTTCGGCCGATGGTTTCAAGATATTGGCCTCGGGTCCAATGGGACATTGCATAGACATAACGACTTTCTCACGGAATGGATCGATGGGAGGATTGGTAACTTGGGCGAATAACTGCTTAAAATACTCATACGGTAGGGGTTGGAATGTTGAGAGGCAAGCCAAAGGGGCATCATTGCCCATGGAGCCTAAAGCTTCTTTCCTGTAATTACAAACAAAAATTGAATATTCGGAAACTTCCAACAACAATCTAGAAATTTTTACCTGTTTTTAAACATTGGCACTAAAAGCATGTTGACCGTTTCATTTGTATAACCATACAGGGAGAGTCTGGGATCCAACATACCCTGCTGTGAGGGATCAACAACAGCTTGAAGAGCTCCATTCGAATTGTCCGTATTGAAAACATTGGCATTGCGAATTTCATCCAAGGTAATCTAGTATTGAAAAATAGATAATTTTAGAAACGAATTTTCAACCATATTAAATAAGCTCAACAAAAGCTCAAACTCTTTTAAGGCAAAGCTTTGGGGCAAATAAATATGCTTTGTTAAATCAATTTCAAAATATACTTGGGGAAAGCGAAAACAAAAAAAGAAGGAGGAAATTTCGAAAACCTTAACTCACCATCTGTTAAATTCCAAAAAATTTGAATTGTATTAATTTGAGGCATAAGAAAAATTTGGGAATATTAAGAAAATATTTTTAAAAATTTAGTTTTTTTTTTTAATTTGGGATAATTGTTTGTATTAATTGTTGTGGTGTTACATATGATGCCCGGTAGGTCTGTATTATTTGTAGGTCACTTTAGAGTTTTAATCTCACACACTCACCTTTTGCTGCAACCACTCCGAATGGGGACGAGACTTTGCAATGGAAGTTTTCAATTCAATGTCTTGAATGAATTTCTTCTCCTGGGTGTCGACCAACAACATACGGCCAGGCTTCAAACGTGACTTCAATGTAACTTGTGATGGATCCACATCATAGACACCCACCTCTGAAGCCATTACCAAAATATTCTCTTTGGTTATGTAGAAACGCGATGGCCGCAGACCATTACGATCGAGCACTGCACCAATATATCGACCATCGGTGAAGGAAATCAGGGCTGGACCATCCCAGGGTTCCATGACGCATGAAGCCCACTGGTAGAAATCACGTTTCTCCTGCGGCATTGTCTTGTCGTTTTGCCACGCCTCGGGTACCATGGTCATCACCGACTCGGGCAACGTACGATCACTGGCCGCCGTCAAAAATTCCAGTACACAATCAAATGAACCGGAATCCGAGAGATTGGGTTCAACGACGGGATACAATTTTTTCAAATCCTCGCCAAACACCTCACTCTGCATGACGCCCTCGCGGGCCTTCATCAAATTGACATTGCCACGCAATGTGTTAATCTCACCATTGTGAGCCAGGACACGCAACGGATGGGCCCGCTCCCACGAGGGGAACGTGTTGGTGGAGAAACGTGTATGTACCAATGCCAGATAGGTTTCAAATTGCGGATCTTTCAAATCGGTATAGTAGTTCCAGAGCTGATCGGACGTGAAGAGACCCTTGTAGACAATGGTCTTCGAGGACAAAGAACAAATGTAGAAACGACGGCCCTCCTTGGCCAGTTCATGACTGGCCCGTTTGCGCACCACAAAGACTTGACGCTTGAATGTCTCGTCATCCATGCCGGCCGGACGTACAACAAACACTTGACGTGACAATGGCTCCGAACTGCGGGCCACAGTGCCAATGGCATTCGGATTGGTTGGAACGCTGCGCCATGCCAACACATCTAGACCCAAGCTTTTGGCTAAATCATTGAATTCTTGTTCAGCTGCTTGATGAGTTTTCTCATCCAAATAGAAAATGCCGGTGGCATAATTTCCCAGCTCGGGTAATTGAATACCCTCCGAAGACCTGCAATGGGATAATGGGAAGAAATGAGATTAGTTAGAGAATGCCCTTAATGATTCTGGACATAGAAAACCTAGAAAAGGTTTTTTTTGGCTATAGAATTACTGTAGGCTTTGGAAGACTTTTTCTGAATATAAGAGATCTTTCAAGGCTCTTCTGTCTTTAGAAGACCTGTGAAAGATCTGTAGGCCAAAAAGTTCAGTATAAGGACTTCTGGCTTAGTCATGTTGAAAGTCATTTGCCTATAACGATCAGTTATACGTATTCTGGCCTGTAAAAGCTCCTCTGTCTATAGAGGACGTGTAAAAGCTTTTAAGCTTGAGGAGACCAGCAAGGGATCTTCTGGCTATAGAAATGCGATTTATAGTGATATTAAAGGTATTCAAAGTTCTGTTAAAGCTCTTCTGAAGATGAAATATCTAGGAAAGCTTTCATTTGACTATAGAATTACTGTAAAAAATATTTTACCTATAGAAGACATTTGAATGGTCTTCCCAATATAAAATATCTATCAAAGTTTTACAGGCTTTATAAGGCGTGTGAAAGGTCTTCTGGATTAGGAAGACCTTTTGAAAGTCTTTTACTTATAACAACCTGCTCCTCTGGCTTAATACCTTTGAAATTCCTTTTGGGTATAGAAGAACGGAAAATGCTTCTCTCTCTTTAAAAAAAAAAATTGTAACAGCCCTTTTGGGTATATAAGGCCTGTAAAATTTCTTCCGGCTTTAGAAGGCCTTCAAAGCTCTTCTGGCATCATGGCCTTTTGGATATAAAATGTCTGAGGAAGGTTTTCTGCAGGCTTTTATGACTTTTGAAGACCTGTAAAAGAGGTTCTACATACAAAATACCAGCAAAAGGTCTTGTGAGTGTAGAAGACCTGCATTTGTTTAAAGAGGACGTGTAAAAGGTGGTCTAGCTACAAGAGACAAGTAAAAACTCTTCTGGCTAAAGAAGACCTGTAAAATCAGACTTATAATAGGTCATTTGGCAATAGGAGACTTGTTAAAGCCCTTTTGGATATATAAAACATGTAAAAGCTTTTATGCGTTAGAACAGCTGTTAATGCTCTTTTGTCTATCAAAACTATTTTGGCTAGAGGAGACCTGTGAAAGTCCTTTGGATATAGAAGACTTGTAAAAGCTTTTCTGCATTTGAAGAGCGGTCTTCTGATTATGGAAGATTTGGCTATATTGGACTTGAAAATGAGCCTCTGAACATAGAATAACACTAAAAGTTTTTAAAAGACTTCTAAATACTAAGGAAGAACTATAAAAAGTCGCCTGGCTATAGAAAACTTCTAGAAGCCTTCAGAATAAAGAATACCTATAAAAGCTCTTCTGACAATAGAAGAACTGTAAAAACTCTCTTGGCCAATGTAGACCTGTTTTCATAAAAATCTTTCCAAAATATTCTAATTTTTATACCCTCCACCTTGGAAGGAGGGTATATTAACTTTGTCATTCCGTTTGTAACATCCCTAAATATTCGTCGTAGACCCCACAAAGTATATATATTCATAATCAGCATAAAATTCTAAGTCGATTTAACCATGTCCGTCTGTCTGTCTGTCTGTCTGTCTGTCCGTCTGTCCGTCTGTCTGTCTGTCTATCCGTCTGTCTGTTGAAATCACGATGCCGCTCACATTATTTGACGTAGAGCGTCAAAATTTGGCAGAACAATTTGTATTGTGTCTAGGATGGCTGGTATTGAAAATGAGATATATCGGTCCACGTTCTGGTATAGTCCCCATACAATGGTACCTCCCGATATTCGGTACTTTGATGATTTATGCCACAGTTTTTCACGGATTTATCTGAAAATTGGTATTTGTAGGTCATAACGGGTCCCTGAGCGTGTGGCAAAACATTGCATGTATAGGTCCACGTTCTGGTATAGTCCCCATATAACGGTACCTCCCGATATTCGGTATTTTGATGATTTATGCCACATTTTTTCACGGATTTATCTGAAAATTGGTATTTGTAGGTCATAACGGGTCTCTGAGCGTGTTGCAAAACATTGCATGTATAGGTGCACGTTTTGGTATAGCCCCCATATAACGGTACCTACCGATATTCGGTATTTTGATGATTTAAGCCACATTTTTTCACGGATTTGTGTAAAAGTTGGTATTTGTGGGTCATAATGGGTCCTAGTTCGTGTGGCGAAACATTGTAATTATAGGTGCACGTGTTGGTGTAGCACCCATATAACGGTACCTCCCGATATTCGGCATTTTAATGGTTTTTGCCACATTTCTTCTAATGTTTTTTTACCCTAAGGTGGAGGGTATTAAAAGTTCAGCCGGGCCAGAACTTAATGTTTTTTTACTTGTTTTATTGTTACCCTGTGCTTTTTGACACACATCTGTTCTCATCTGTCAGTGTGCACTGTGACGCCGTTAATTAATTGAATTAGCAAATAACATGATTATTTTACTCTCTCTCCCTATCCGGCGATGCAATTCAATTCTAGTAAATTTCACAGATTGTCACAACTGATACTGCGATGTAATTTCAAGACATTCTGTCTGTATTGATTACATGATATTTCAAACACACAACGGAACTTGAAGTGCACGGCAATAAATGCAATTCAGTTCATGTACAAGTTCACGCCCAGCTGGCAAACAAAAACAGGTCTGGCCTTTTTTGTGTGGCGAGAGATGGAAAGGGAAAAACGAAATCGTCTGCCTAATTACGTCTCAATATAAAATATTTATCAAATACTTTCATATTGATTATATTTAGTTGGCGCATGTGTAAGTGTAAATCTTGAAAGTTGAACCAGTTTGTTTGTTGTGCTTTTCCCCATTTCCAATTACAGAAGATATCGAGAATGTGCATTTGAAGTGATTCCGTAACAAATAATTGAAGGTTATTAACTCGATTAAGGAAGTGACAAATTGGAAAGGTTGGAAGTTGTTTTTTTTACAATATACTTGAGATGTGAATGATTTATTTTATATTGAGAATTGTGTGGAAATATAAAAATATGGGTAAAAAATCCCCAGGAATTTTCGTGAAATTTTGGTAGATGTTCTCGTAAGAAGTTCCTACAAAAGTCTATGCAGAGCAGCTATTTTAAAGGTTTGAATGAAAAATATGCCAAAAATATTAAGAGAGCGTAGTTTTGAAAATCTCCAGGAATTTTGCGGGACATTTTGGGGTATTGAAATTAAAACTGTTTCGGGAAAATTTGAGAATCTCCAGAAATTTTTGGGATATTTTTAGAGAATGTTATTAAATGAAGTCAAGCTCAAAGTCCGGCATTTGAAAGGGAGCAATATATAAAAATCGGAGGGACATTTTTATGAAGTCAAAATAAAGTTCTATTTGTAGAATACATTTGAAAGTCTGCCATGGCCCGCCATATTTTGAAGTTTTGACAAATTAACTGATGTGGCTTTAAATGATTTGTTTAAACAAAACTGCCTTTGTTGTTCTTTTTCCATACAGGGTGAGATGAAAAAACTGCAACCAACTTCAGACTGCTGTCATTTCTAAGCCGCCACTCATCCGACAACTGTTAAAATTATTCCAGTGACGGCTCATTATATTGTTTACAAGCGTACAAAAGCATTTCGGTGAGAATTTTGCAGAAAAAAAATTATTCGTGATGGAATTCAAGCATGATAGTGTGATTTCTTTATATTTGGATGAAAAACCACAAGTGGCTATCGTTAAAGCACTCCAGCTTTGAAATGTGAATAAATCTTTTGTGTCTCGTACCGTGATACTGGTAGCGTAGCCCGACGTCAAGGAAATGGACGGACGACATCAGCAGAAATGGTTCGAAAAGTAAGGAAGCGGCGGCCATGGTGATGATGTGGGCCGCCATAACAGCAGATGGTCGCTCTCCGCTCGCAATAATCGACCGTGGCATCAGAATAAATGCCGAATATTAAGGCGAAAATATTCTGGAAAGCCTTAATACAAGCCTTGGGCACGTAAACATTTTGCCCGCAGACCTTGGAAATTCCAACAGGACTCAGCACCATCGCACTCAGCACGTGCCTCTCAAGAATGGTTACAAAATTAGGTTTCTCGCCTCATTTCCAGCGCACAATGGCCACCAAAATCTCCGCATACAAATCCGTTGGACTATTGTGTCTGTAGTATTTTGGAAAGCAAGGTTGGCACTAAAATATACCAAAAAGTCGTTCATCCCAAGCAAGCACTTCGCGTGTGACGGTTTCATTGGCCGTTTGAAGGCCATAATTCGTGCCAAAGGTGACCAATTCGAACAAATCTAAACTAATTCTAAAATTAAAAAAAAAAATGTAAAAATTATGGCGTTTAACTTTGTTCTAGTTTTTTATCTCACCCTGTACTTTAGCCACATTGTGACTAAAAATAGCCCACATCACTTCATAATATCTTGAGACTGGCCGCCAGTCACTTAGACAATTGCTGGCAAACAAATTCATTTCAGCATTTAAATATTTGTCAATTAGAAGTACATAAAAATGTCATTTGTAGAACTAATTACCGAACAACAACAGCAACAGGCTAGACCGTTTTCAAGTCAATTTAAAAATGTTCCAAACAAAATGCATTTTTCAATTCAACAATGTTGATGAGACAACTCGCAACGCAATAATTTATCCATTTACAATGAAAGTATTTAAGAGAATATTTAACAAAAAAAAAAAAAAAAAAATGCAACAACAACGCTAATGATAACAACAACAAAATCCACTGAATGTGACTTACTTGTCTAATTAGTACTTTTTCAACATTGCAAATTGTAATTATTACAGATACGAATAATTTCTCTCAATTCAAGTTCATTACAGCAGCTAGGCTAGGCGGACAGCCGTGTTCGTCGTCGACTTAAGTAATCAGTCTACACTGCCACATTATTTATATTTTAGTTTATAAATAGACATATGTATGTACATGAAATTGCCAATAACCTTGAAATATCGTAATTGTAACATATTGCAAATTGTGCTAATTTTGTTTAAAGCATTCGATTTTTTTTTTGTTTTTTTTTTTTTTAGAATTTTGAGGTAATTTTACGGAAATCCTAAGGAGTTCGAACCAAATGGATAAGAATATGTGAAAACCAGTAAGGAAAGGTCAAAAGTCGGGCGGGACCGACTATATGTTTCCCCACACCGCTACGCGTAATAAGTAGGGCTCCCGTTACAAAAAAACTTTGTTTTGGAATTTAATTTAAAGAATAAGAATTATATTAAAACAAGTAAGCAAAGGCTATAGCCGTGCGGGGCCGACCATGTGATACCCTACAACACTACAATATGTGAGAAGCCCTCTCATGTCCAAATCCATTTTGGAAGATTTCGCTTTTGAAATTATGTCACAGAGCACAGCCCAGATATTACCCTTAGCATTTTGACCAGGGACATTTTCCCGATATTTATACACTCCGTCGTGCTGTTAGTTTTTCTGGTCCATTTTACGGCTAAACATAATCCAATGGTTATCCAAAATGCTAGAATTCTCACTGTGTATCGATTAGCTTCAATTGTGTGATCAGGATTTTTTTCTGTTTTTTGAACGCCTAAATATTTTGCGATCATCTCCAAAAGCAATTTGGCTATATTCGTCAACGAAATCAGCATAAAAAAGCTAAAAGTTCGCCTATTGTGTATTTCAGATATCACATGTAAGTAATGTTGGTATTTTTTCACACAAAAGTAGTGGTCCATTCTACCCGCTGTCTTAAATTCTAACTTCATGCAAGATTTCATGTCCTTTGGTTTCTATTTGTGACCTTTATAACGGCTGCAAAATCAGGAACATTTTGAGTTGCTGCTCCATTTCAACCCCTAAATATATTGCGGACATCTTTGAAGCCCTTCTGAGCCTAACCCTACCTTTGCCAAAAATTTCGTGAGGATCGAGCGATAATTACAATCTGTATATAAATAATAACCCCAACCTGTGTTGTAAAGTGCAAAATATTACAAAATATACACTTCAATATTATAAGTCAAATTGAAAAAATCGCATGCGATAAAAAATATGAAAAAATAAAAATATGTCACAAAATACTACAAAATCTATATTAACAACTTTATTGGCATATTTTTCTGCGATTTTTTAGGTTTTATACTTTTATGCCAATAGGGCATTCTGAATTTACAAAATTTGTCAAAATCGCTCCAGCCATTCTGGAGATATAAGCATTCCAGCTAACATCCCCTTCCTTTGTATATATACATTGTATATATTTCGCTATATATATCCGATATTTTTACTATCGGCATCTACGTAACGGTCAGAATTGACCTGTTCGTCTATTTGTGATTTCGCCGGCATTAAAGATATTCGCGGTTTAATGGAAAATTTGACTTTTATTTATCACAAATGCTATGGTCTATTTCAACCACTAAATATTACCCGATGACCATCAAAATTGGGAGGCTTCTGCCCAGCCCAAAGCTCTAGCCCCATGCTAACTTTCGTCCATTTCAACCCCTAAATATTATGCGATCATCTCCAAAAGAAATAGGCTTCTATTCTGACCCTAACCCCACCTCCATTTTAAATTTCGTGAAGATCGGACCATAATTGCGACCTGTAGAGTGATTACAAATTAACATGGACAGACGGACAGACGGACGGACGGACATACAAAGGTAGATCGACTCAGCTCGGCGAGATAGGAAGATCCATATATACTTTCCTATGTGGGAAATCAATATTTCGTGGTGTTACATAATTTTTGGCCCAATCAAACTTATAATACCCCCAACACAAAGTGTTGTAGGGTATAAATATTTATTGGATCAATAGATACACCGGACCAAGTTTCGTCAAGTGGAAAAATTCGGTTGAATATGAAAAAAACTATTCAATTTGGGCTGATATTACATCTAAATGAAATTTTGCACAACTCATTTGTTTGACCCAAGGACGAACCTGGAAGAACTGTATTAAATTTGGTGAAAATCGATAGTATAGGTCCCACATACAGGGTGAGATTAAAAAACCGAACCTACTTCAGACTGCTGTCATTTCTAAGCCACTCGTGACAGCTCATTATATTATTTACAAGCGTACAAAAGCATTGAGGTGAAAATTTTTCAGAAAAAAAAACTTATTCGTGATGGAATTCAAGCGCGATAGTAAGATTTCTTTATATTTGGCTGGAAAACCACAAGTGGCTATCGTTAGAGCACCCCAGCATTTAAAGGTTAATAAATTATTTGTGTATCTTATACCAACGCTTGTTACCGTGACGGTACGGAACAGAACGGAAGAAAACAGCAACATCAGCAGAAATAGTTCGTAACGTAGCCGAAAAATGGCTCGTGAACTAAACATTATCACAATATACCATTCGGAAAATATTGAAAAATGAGCTCGGGGTAAAGCCATTGAAATTCCAAAAAGTGCAAGAACTTACACCGCAACAGAAAGAAAATAGACTCAAAAGAGCCAAAGAGTTGCTTCGCATGGCCGAAAGTAGTGAACTGCCGAATTTGGTTTTCTCCGTCTCCGATGAGAAAACATTCGTTGTCCCGCAGTTTGTAAACAAACAAAATGATCGTGTTTACTTGCCAAAGAGGTCAGCTGGCCACCAGAACTCAAGCGCCGGTCATAGTGATGGTGTGGGCCGCCATAAAAGCCGATGGTCGATCTTCGCTCGTATTAATCGACCGTGGCATCAGAATAAATGCCAAATATTATCGTGAAAATATTCTGGAGGGGGTATTAAAGCCTTGGGCACGCAAACATTTTGGACGTAGACCTTGGACATTCTAACAGGACTCAGCACCATCGCACTCAGCACGCGCCACCCAAGAATGGTTACAAAATGAGGCTCCTCGTTTCATTTCCAGCGCACAATGGCCACCAAAATCTCCGGACACCAATCTATTGTATCTGCAGTATTTTGAAAAGCAAGGTTGGCACTAAAAAATACCAAAGTGTCGATCGCCTCGCCGGGAATGGGCCAAAATACCGTAGAGCGTATGACGGTTTCATTGGGCAGCGTGTGACGGTTTCATTGGGCGTTTCAAGGTGACCAATTCGAACAAATCTAAACTTATTCTAAAATTTGAAGCTATTTCCGACTTTTTTTGCTTCCATTCAATAAAATTTAAAAAATATGTAAAAATTATGCCGTTGGAATTTGTTGTGGTTTTTTCATATCACCCTGTATGTTTTGTATAGCCAGAAAACTCCCAAAGTTTTTTTTTAGACAAAGAACTTCTGTTCTAGAAAAATATGACTTTTAAAAGGACTTCACGATAAAGATGTCTTTTAAAGGCATTTTTGACACTTCCAGTTCTCAAAGGCTTCATTTAGATAGAATGTTTTAGAACATCTCAATAGGGTGCCTCTAAAAGTGGAAGGAAGAAAGGCAAAGTTGGCTCTTTTGGTTTCCATAATTCATTGAGATTTCGGTGCACAGTTAATGTCTCAATGCTACGAATAATAGAGTTTCAATATTTTACAAATACACTTTATATTCCAATATGAAAGCCATACCAATTCAAATGCTATAAATTGTATTTTGTGCCATCTTGTGACAGATACTAAGTTTTATGAAATATTTATGAAATATTTCTTCACAAAAAAATTTCAAAATCAAAAAGCCAAAACAAAATAGAATATTTTTTTGGCAATTGAAAATTCGCATACTTTTCCCCATTCATTATTCTTGGTTCAATGGAAACTATTTTGCCGTTGCTTTTTTTTATTTCAACAAAAAACTATTTAAAACAAACAAACAAAAATAATAGTGGGTTTGTTTTTCGCTTTTCTTATTGGATATTTGCCAATGAGAAAACAAATTCACTACGCGAAGCTGTCATAAAACAGACCTATGTTGCGAGCCAAATTCAAATTTTATGACGCAATATACTGAACAAATGTCTGCCTGGTAGTTACTTTTGTTGAATTCAATTTTTGGTGCAGTTCAATTTAAGTGCATATGCCTATTGAACTGAACTAAAGTTTGATCAATAAAATTAATTTAAATTGAGATTTAAACGCAATTGGTTTGTCACCATACTCGATTACTTACAATGCTTTGGCATACAAATCATGGGGAATAGAAGCCATAACACCAGCACCATCGCCAGTGTCATTGTCACAGGCGCAAGCACCACGATGATTCATCCGTTCTGACAGGGTCTGGGCATCACGAAGAATCTGTAAAATGTTAATAAAGAAAAGAAGTAGAAAGTTGATAAGTAAACTGTGTTTGAACATTGATAATAATAAATTGTTGCTATATAAATATATACAGAGAAGAGGGTACCATACAATCTTGTGGACTTGGCTAAAATAAGGAAATAATTCTACTCCCTTTTTGCGATGGTAGAATAATCAAGATGGACACATCAGCACTTGTGAACATCGATATGTCAAAAATATCTAAAACAAGTAAAAAACATTAAGTTCGGCCGGGCCAAACTTTTAATACCCTCCACCTTAGGGTAAAGGAAACATTAGAAGAAATGTGGCAAAAACCATAAAAATGCCGAATATCGGGAGGTGTCGTTATATGGGGGCTATACCAAATCGTGGACCTACACATGCAATGTTTCGCCAAAGGAGCTAGAACCCATTATGACCTAGAAATACCAATTTTCAGACAAATTCGTGAAAAAAAAATGTGCCAAAAATCACCAAAATACCGAATATTGGGAGGTACCGTTATATGGGAACTATACCAAAACGTGGACCTATACATACAATGTTTCACCACACGAAATAGGACCCATTATGACCCACAAATACCAATTTTTAGACAAATCAGTAAAAAAATGTGGCAAAAACCATCAAAATACCGAATATCGGGAGGTACCGTTATATGGTGGCTATAACAAATCGTGGACCCATACATGCAATGTTTCACCACCGGAGCTGGAACCCATTATGACCAACAAATACCAATTTTTAGACAAATCCGTGAAAAAATGTGGGAAAAAATAATCAAAATACCGAATATTGGGAGGTACCTTTATATGGGGGCTATACCAAAACGTGGACCTATACATGCCATGTTTTGCCACACATACAGGAACCCGTTATGACCTACAAATACCAATTTTCAAACAAATCAGTGAAAAAATGTGGCATAAATCATCAAAATACCGAATATCGGGAGGTACCGTTATGGGGACTACACCAGAACGTGGACCGATATATCTCATTTTCAATACCAACCATCGTAGACACAATACAAATTGCTCTGCTAAATGTTGGCGCTCTACGTCAAATAATGTGGGCTGTATCGTGATTTCAACAGACAGACGGACAGACAGATGGACAAACGGAATGACAAAGTTAATATACCCTCCTTTCCAAGGTGGAGGGTATAAAAATCTACAAAAATAAACTGATTTTTAAATATTTTCTTATACGCATGATAGAAGAAGAAGGTATGTCAAAGCAATCTGTCAAATAAGATTTTTTTCTTCGGCATTACTAAAATTTCAAAAAATATCAAAAATATCGACTTCTGCATGTCAATCCGTCCATGTACTTTTGTGAACAAAATGCAGGTCGCATTTGTTATCCGATTGAGATAAAAATTTTCCAAACAAGATTTGTTTGGCTCAAGGACAACTCCTATTGAAATTGGTGAGAATCGGTTCAAATTTAGATATAGCTCCCTAAATACTTTAAACCGATTTCGGGTTAAATGTGCACCAAATGAACAATGTCAGTGCAAATGACCTGAGTTTTTGGCACATCCGACCGAATTCAGTCAAGAAGCAAATACATCAAATTTAGTGAAAATCGGTTCAAATATAGCTATATCTCTCATATATATGTTTCATCCGATAAGGTGTTTAAGTCCCTCACATTCGTAATATTCACCCCACAAGAATGATATTTGGTATCAGACATAAGATACAGCCCAAAAATACCACTGCCAAATTGTATTAAGAACGGTTCTGAATTGGATATAGCTCCTATATATATCTTCAATTGATCTCGGGTTAATTGTGTACAAAATGGCCAATATCTGTCCAAATGACCTGAATTTTGGTACATCCAACCGAATTCAGTCTAGATGCAAGTACATCAAATCGGTTCAGATATAACTCTTATATATATGTTTCATCCGATTTGGTTTTTAATTTCCTCACACCAAAAGACCTGAATTTTGATACATCCGACCGAATTCAGTCTAGATGCAAGTACATCAAATCGGTTCAGATTTGGCTCTCATATATATGTTTCATCCGATTTGGTTTTTAATTTCCTCACACCAAAAGACCTGAATTTTGATACATCCGACGGAATTCAGTCTAGTTGCAAGTACATCAAATCGGTTCAGATATAGCTCTCATATATATGTTTCATCCGATTTGGTTTTTAATTTCCTCACACTCGTAATATGCATTCGGCAACAATGACATTTGGTACCAGATATCTTATAGAGCTCAGAAATACCTTTGCCAAATTTTATCGAGAACGGCTAAGATTTGGATGTAGCTCTCACATATATATCCTTAATCCGATTTCAGATTTATTGTGCAAATAATGGCGAATATCAGGCCAAATGGAGTGAATTTCGGTACGTATGTTTTCATTTTGCGGAACTCGGCTCCGATATATATTTTTAAATCCTTCTCGAAGTGATACCATGCACTCTATATAAATGTTATTTGTTAAAAAAAATAAAAATGTCTCCGTCAAATTTAGTGAAAGTCGATTTAGAATTGGATATGGCTCCGATATATTAGTTCCCTCTGAAATCAAACTATAACTTCTCTAAAGCCAAATGTTGATAGGTGGTATGATGTATTTCAAATAATGTTTTTTTACGGAAGCTCTACTAAATATGCATAGTGGTGTAGGATATCATATAGTCGGGCCCGCCCGACTTTTGACTTTTCCTTACTGGTTTTTTTAGTGGATAATATAGGCTTCCTACCTACATAAATTCTTTAAAGACTTTTGAAAACACTCAACGATCTGTTCAAGAGAGATTTCGGGGCTATAAATCTTAAATTAAGTACATAAGCAAATCCGAAACATTTTCATTCTGTGTTATTTATTTCATGTTTCATTGACAAAGCAACATGCCAAAATCCGAACCTTTTGGAAATATATTTTTTGTTTTTATACACAATGAACTTTCTTTATATACTCATATCTGTGGGCTTTGTCTCATAAGAGCTGTTAAATTTTAATTCCTCACTGTTAATTATCATAAATTCCCAGACATTGAATTGTTTGAATTGCATTTAACGGTTAATAACTGGTCCAAAGAATTTTTGTATAGCCACATTGTTGTTTCATTTGAATGAATTGCAAAAAAGTTTACTCTCAAGCATTTAAAATGGGTGGTCCGAAAACTGTAGTATTTAATGAAAATTGTCTAAAGAAGCAATATTCAGTAGAATAAAATAAAAATATAAGAAGTAATAATTTCTAAGTTTTTTTAAAGGATTTATAGAAAATAATTTATGTGCCAATTAAAACGCTTAAGGATCCTAGAAATTTTAATGAATTTTAGAAGACCTGTTTCTGCATTACAAAAATTAATGTGAAAGAAAAACGCCATTCCGAACGAGTTTTACATATTTATACTTTTTTTTTAATTAAATCCAAAATTTGCGGAACACATTTTAGATGCTGTGTTTTTTTTTTGCATTTGACATACAGAAGCAGCCTCTAAGAAGCAGTGACCGTGGAATTTTTAAAGGGTCGTGAATTTTTACAAAATATTTAATTTTTTAATATAATTAGTTTTTTAGGGCCATAACTTATTTTTAAAAAGTCGTAGTTTGCTCTATGTTATGAGCGTTGGATTTTTAAATGTTAAAAATTGTAATTGAAGACATTTGGTGTTGTATTTGGACCAAAATCAGAGCAAATGAAAATAAATGCATATGAAAAAAGAGATAGTTCATAAGAATGTGAAGTCTTTATACCCTACAACACTATGTGTTGGGGGTATTATAAGTTTGATTGGGCCAAAAATTATGTAACACCTCGAAATATTGGTTTCCCACATAGGAATCCATATATACTGGATCTTCCCATCTCGTCGAGCTGAGACGATCTAGTTTTGTATGTCCGTTCGTCCGTCCGTCTGTCCATGTTAATTCCTAATCACTCTACAAGACGTAATTATGGCCCGATCTTCACGAAATTTAGAATGGAGGTGGGGCAAGGGCCAGAATAGAAGCCCAGTGCTTTTGAAGATGGTCGCATAATATTTAGGGGTTCAAATGAACCAAAAACAGAAAAAATTTCTTGATCGCACAATTGAAACCAATCGACACGGATTTTTGCATGAGAAGAGAGTTAAGGACAGGGAAGAATTCTAGCATTTTGAACGGCCATTGGATTATATTTAGCTGTAAAATGGACCACAACAACTAACAGCACGATGGAGTGCGTAAATATTGGGCAAATGTCCCTGGCCAAAATGCTAAAGGGTAATATCTGGGCAGTGCTCTATGACATAATTTGAAATTAAATCTTCCAAAATGGATTGGACATATGCGGGCTTCTAACATATTGCTGTGTTGTAGGGTATCGCATGGTCGGCCCTACACGACTATAGCCTTTGCTTATTTGTTATTTATTCGAAACGATTATACTCAAAGAAATATACATTTGTTCTGTCTGGTCGTGTTCTCTCGGGTCGCATGCATGTTTACAGGCGATAAAGTTCTTCAATGACGTATACCGACCGGGCGATTTTTTATAACCTCCAACATACATAGTATTGTGTCAAAACGAATAAAAATAGGAAGCTACTTTTTTCACAGTTCAGTCAGATGTCTGCATGCAGGTCAAGCTCGAAGATGAGCTATATCAGTCCACGACATTTCTGATATTCGAAAATGAAATGGACTGAAAATCCACAAAAGGAGTTCCTTCCTTCCTCTACACCCTGGAAGGGTATTGTCTATGTAGGTCCACGACATTTTATATCTCTCATATAACATTAGCTCCCTATATTCGGTATTTTTTAGTAGCTAAATATTTAATGGAATTGTCTAAAAACCCATACTAGAAGTTCTTTCTTAGCACTTTACCCCTTGGAAGAGAAATGTCTATATAGGTCCAAGATATCGTATAGCCTACAATCAACGGTAACCCCCTGATATATTGACGATTTTAGGACCATTAATCACCAGAGTTATTTTCAAATTCGTAATGGGTACTACAGCCTATGACAAAAAATTGCGTATGCAGATCCACGTCTTCGTATAGACTCCATATATCAGTACATCCCAATATTCGGTATTTTGATGATTTTAGCTACATTATTAACCGGATATTTTTTTAAGTTTCGTATTTGAATATTGTAATGGCTTATAACAAAAGCTGCCTATGCAGGTCCATGACTTCGTATAGATCTCAATATAACAGTTTCATTCGGTATTTTTAAGATTTTAACAGAATTTTATTTATTTGATAATATCCAAATTCGTTCCAAATGGTGGAGGGTATTCAAACTTTGCTGCTTTTTTACTATTCATTCACACTCCCTAAAGAGAACCCCTCCCTGTTGATTTATGACGAATTGGTCAGAGTAATTAATATATATACAATTCCATAAACTTTGGACTTACCTTGTGAGACCGTTTGCCATCGATGGCCACAATGAAGCCAACACCGCAGGCTTCATGTTCATTCTGTGGATCGTACAATCCCTGCTTGCCGGGTGCTTCCCATGGCATGCGTTCTTTTTGTTGCTGTTGATTGTTGCGCACATTTTCATCATTATTAGAAATCTCTTCCTTTACTTCACAATCACGGGACACATTCACAACTTCTTCGTCTTTAAAGTTTTCAAGCGATGATGATGACGATTCTACGTTAGTTTCACTAAAATAACTATCGTTGGTGGTGGTGATGGCTGAGTTGGAGTCGATGGTGACGGTGTTGGAATTATCAACAAATTCACATCCTGATTCAATTGAATTGTCAGCAATTATTGGGGCCATTATATGCTTTAGTGCAATCAAACTTTAGAAACTTTTGTTTTTATTTTTGTTGTTTGTGGGTCAGTATTGTTTATTTTGTTTTACTCTTTTTCGTTTGTTTATTTTTCACCGCTGTTTTTCCTTCTTTCGTTTTTTTTTTCTTCTGCACTACAAAAAAGTTTTCAACTTTTTCTTCACTTTCTCTTGGTGTTTGAAATGTATTTTAAATGTATTTTTATTTGTCACTTGTGTTTTTCTTTTTCAATTAGTTTTCCTTTTTTGCTGTTAAAATTTTGTTGCAGAAATTTGGGGGAGAGAAGAAAGAGAAATAGAAAAAATAGGTTAGGACTTGAAAAACACCGCAATGTGATTTTTAATTTTTTTTATTATTAAAATAAAAATTATAAATTATTTCAAAATGCCTTGTATAGAGCTATTAATTTGTTCACTAAAAAAAATTAAATTTTTCTCCTCTATAGATAAACGTTGTTTTTATAAAAAACTACAATAATTGTATTAAGCCTGGATATTTTGTAACATTAAAATAACCACGGAACCCCCAACATTGTTTTTAAAAATATTAAAATTATTTAAAAAAGTGTTAATTAAAAATCATTTATTCAAAAATACAACACACATCAAACATTTATTTAATTGCACAGAAATTCCAAGTTTGTTTTTTTCTTTTTTTTTGTTTAATTATTTTCAATAATGTTCAAAGGTTTATATCGCGTAACGTTTCGTTTGTAAACCGTTGTACATCCGTCTGCAACGAGTGAATCCCGTAGAATGAGCAAATTCTCTTCACGAGAACCTGTCTATAGCCAGTTAGTCACATCGTCGCACATATCATGCCTGCGCGTTGTTCTCTGTCGCTGTCGCTGTCGCCCCGCTGCCCCCCTCATCAACTGCTTCGTGGAGAGGTCTGAAACAACAATAATTCGCCACCGCCTGTAAAGTGCAAATTTCTACTCAATACCGTCTGCGGTTTTGTTAGTCCCCATTACACATGCAGACGACATACATACATACGTACGTACGTACGTACATAATATTCTAACGTTTATCTCTATTGTGGGTGCAGAGGGGCATTTTTAGGTAGCGGCCCTAAAAATGCGTCGTTGCAATATTGTAAAATAGTCAGCACATGTTCGTGGGGCACAGTGTTTGGAGACCGTGTATGGTGGAAATTTAGAGAGGCATAAATTGCGATGTCTTGGGAACATTTTTTCAAAGACCAAAAAGATTACCTCAAATGTGGAACCTTAGGAAAAGTTGTTGAACAACCGACAAAGATTTTTTAAGAAAAATCTTTCAAAAACCAATAATGAATTTTAAAAACAATTTTTTAAGGAACAAAGTATTATTTTAAGACTATTTTTTATACCCTCCACCATACATAGTATGGAGGGTATATTAAGTTCGGCGTTCCGTTTGTAACTCATCGAAATAATCATTTTAGACCCAACCAAGTATATATATTCTTGATTAGCGTAAAATTCTAAGACGATTTAGCCATGTCTGTCCGTCTGTCCGTCTGTTGTAATCACGCTACAGTCAAAACGAATTAAGATAGGAAGCTAAAATTTTGCACAGATCTGTCTTTTGTCTGCAGGCAGGTCAAGTTCGAAGATGGCCTATATCGGTCCACTATATCGTATAGCCCCCATATAACGGTACCCCCACGGTATTCGGTATTTTGATGATTTTACCCACATTTTTCAATGGAATTGTCTGAAAATCCACACAAGGAGTTCCTTATGGGTACTTTATAACTCGGCAGAGAATTGTCCATATAGGTCCACGATATCGTATAGCCCCCATGTAACGGTACCCCCCGATATTCGGTATTTTGATGATTTTACCCACATTTTTCAACGGAATTGTCTGAAAATCCACACAAGAAGTTCCTTGTGGGTACTTTATACCTCGGCGGAGAATTATCTATATAGGTCCACAATATCGTATAGCCCCCATATAACGGTACCCCCCGATATTCGGTATTTTGATTTTTCAACGGAATTGTCTGAAAATCCACACAAAGAGTTCCTTGTGGGTACTTTATACCTCGGCAGAGAATTATCTATAAAGGTCCACAATATCGTATAGCCCCCATATAACGGTACCCCCGATATTCGGTATTTTGATGATTTACCCACATTTTTGAACGGAATTGTCTGAAAATCCACACAAGGTGTTCCTTGTGGGTACTTTATACCTCGGCAGAGAATTATCTATATAGGTCCACAATATCGTATATCCCCCATGTAACGGTACCCCCCGATATTCGGTATTTCTATGATTTTACCCACATTTTTCAACGGAATTGTCTAAAAATCCACACAAGGAGTTCCTTGTGGGTACTTTATACCTCGGCGGAGAATTATCTATATAGGTCCACAATATCGTATAGCCCCCATATAACGGTACCCCCCGATATTCGGTATTTTGATGATTTTACCCACATTTTTCAACGGAATTGTCTGAAAATCCACACAAAGAGTTCCTTGTGGGTACTTTATACCTCGGCAGAGAATTATCTATATAGGTCCACGATATCGTATATCCCCCATATAACGGTACCCCCGATATTCGGTATTTTGATGATTTTACCCACATTTTTCATCGGAATTGTCTGAAAATCCACACAAGGAGTTCCTTGTGGGTACTTTATACCTCGGCAGAGAATTGTCTATACAGGTCCACGATATCGTATATCCCCCATATAACGGTACCCTCCGATATTCGGTATTTTGATGATTTTACCCACATTTTTCATCGGAATTGTCTGAAAATCCACACAAGGAGTTCCTTGTGGGTACTTTATACCTCGGAAGAGAATTATCTATATAGGTCAACGATATCGTATAGCCCTCATATAACGGTACCCCCGATATTCGGTATTTTGATGTTTTTAGCCATATTTTTCAACGGAATGGTCACAAGGGGTTCTTTGTACACAAGGCGTTCTTTGTGAGCACTTTACCCCTCGACAGAGAATTCTCTATATAGGTTAACGATAACGTATAGCTCCCATATAACGATAATCTGCGATATTCGGTATTTTGAAAATCCACACAAGGAGTTCCTTGTGAGTACTTTACACGCAGACATAAATTTGTCTTTATGGGTCCACAATATCGTATATCTCCACATATCGGCACCTTCTTATATTAGATATTTTGAAGATTTTAAAAGAATTTTTAATGGATTTTATTTTTTTTGAAAATTTTTTAATTTGTTCCAAATGGTGGAGGGTATTCAAAGTTCGGCCCGGCCGAACTTACTGCTTTTTTACTTGTTATGGACTAACATGGTATTTTAAGAATATTTTTTTCGAGGATAAACGTGGACTTTTTATTCCTATAACATATTTATTTTTATTAATATTTATTTCAACGTCCAACGAAGATTTTTTGAGAATATTTTTAAGGTATTCAAAAAAGAAAGAAGAAAACAGCAACATTAGCAGAAAAGGTTCGAAAAGTAGTGAAGCTGAACATATCGCAAATATTGAAAAATAAACTCGGGGTAAAGCCATTGAAATTCCAAAAAGTGCAAGAACTTACACGGCAACAGAAAGACAAAAGACTCAAAAGAGGTAAAGAGTTGCTTCGCTTGGCCGAAAGTTGTGAAATGCCGAATTTGGTTTTCTCCGATGAGAAAACATTCGTGTTTACTTGCCAAAGAGGTCAGCTGAAAATGTGCACCTTCGGTTGGCCACCAGAATTCAAGCGCCGACCATGGTGATGGTTTGTGCCGCCATAACAGCCGATGGTCGCTCTCTGCTCGTATTAATCGACCGTGGCTTTCATTCAATAAAATTCAAAAAATGTAAAAATTATAGCGTTTGACTTTGTTGCAGTTTTTATTTATCTCACCCTTTATATTTCATCGACATTATTCAACGTAATTATTTCAAATTTCGTATTTGCAGTTCGTAACGGGCCTTTTGAGCATTTTACAAATTTTTTACATTTTTTCATTCATTTTTTTTAAATTTTCATTTCGTATTCTTAGAATAGTTTTCGTTCCACTGTGCCCGCATTTGGCAAAAATTCTTATTGAGATTATAATCTTTGCAAAAAAAAAAAAACATCAGACTCTCGTATTTGCCTTATCTCTTGTGGGTTACAAAAACGTGCTGATATTACAGACAAACAGACAGACAGACGGTCGGTCGGTCGATCGGTTTTAATGGCCACAAATACAACAAAGAAATTTAATGAAATTTTAAAATGTTAATTCAAAAAAAAAAAAAAAAAAAAAAAAAAGAATGCTCAGACAAATTGCAAAAGGCAGAACTTTTGATGGCGCTATTTCTCGGCGTAATGTTGGTGTATTTCAAAGTGACTGTCTGGCGTTTGGTCGCGTTTGATCGGTCATACTTGTTGTTAATATTGTTTTCTTTTATATTTTACAGTAGCATATTTGCATTTCTGTTTGTTTTCAAGTAATTTTGCGGTTTTCGTATGTGACCAGGGGGATTTTTTTCTCCACCGCCTCTGGATATTCGAATATGGAAGGAATATATATGTATTCATACTTATATGTATACATATAATTGTTGAAAGCGACACATGCATAATATCAAGTACAATTCCAATTGTATGTGCGTATGTGTGTGCCTTTGGAAATTCAATATGTTTTTTTTTTCTATTTCCGTCATTCAGTTATAGTTCTAAAGAAAATTTCTGTTTTATATCCTCCACCATACATAGGGTATATTATGGGAGGGTATATTAAGTTCGTCATTCTGTTTGTAACTCATCGGAATAATAATTTCAGATATAACAAATTATATATCCTTGATCAGCGTAAAATTCTAAGACGACCTGATCAGCGTAACATTCTACGATCGTATTTAGAATTCGTAAAGGGTACTAATCCTATGACAGAACCACGGTATTTTGATGATTTAGCGGCAAATTTCGCTAAGTTCTTTCAAATTTCGTAATGGGAACTACAGTCTATGATAGATAATTGTCTATGCAGGTCCAGGTCTTCGTTTAGGCCCATATATCAGTACCTCCCTATTTGTATTTTGACGGATTTAGGCACAATATTCGCCGACATTTTTTGAAATTTCTATTTAAAGTTCATAATAGGTACTACAGCCTGTGGCAGAAAATTGTCTATGCAGGCCCAGGTCTTCGTATAGCCCCGATATAACGACATCTCCCTATATTGCGTATTTTGATGATTTTAGCTACATTATTAACCGATTTTTTTTTTAAATTTCGTAATTGAATTTTGTAATGACATGGCAAAAGTTTCCCAGC